CCAGGTGGCGCAGCTCACACCGTCGCGAAGTGCAAATGGAGTCACCACGCCGGGGGAACATCGTGGATCAGGCGGCACAAACCCTACCTAGCCACGGACGTAGTCTCCCCCCTCACGACACAACGATATAAATGTTCACACGTTGCTGCACTCAAGCAGTCTCTGATGATGAACTCCAGTTCGAGTTCGAAAGCGAAGGCAAATAAATCTATCTTCCCAGTGATCTTGCCTTCGTCTTCCCTTATTTCTCAACTACTCAAAGTACAACCGCACATTCCTAATAGCTTTTCTTTTGCATACAACTACTTGACTTCGTCGCCTGTGCGTTACCCAACCCCACCTGTAAAAACCCCTATTAACACTGATCCCATATTACAGGTGGCTGGGGTTTGTTTACTTCAGGTGAGACTACATAACCACATGTGACCAAGAAGTCTTTTAGTCCATTTCCCAACAGCGTGATAAGGCCATATCATCGCACCAAACCCCGCTAGCAGTTAGTTGCTAAGGCTGTTGACTTTGGTAACCAAGTAAATCCTTACTAAAACGTTGAGGGACTCTATTTACTGACAGGAGTCAAGAAGAAAAAAATGTTTCCAACAGGCTGGGCGATCTATTTCGTTTTGTTCCCATTATGTCCATTACGACAATGCCAAGCAAACCAATCAGATGGCCGCCGCTTTTATTCACCGTGGTAAATAATATAAACATGACGGACATTGCAGACCGGCCGTAGCAAACGACGACATCCAGTGTGTGTGCACTGAGTAGGTGTAGCATCAATGACATGTGCATGAAGCAGTTTATGGTCAGGCGGACTTGCGCAGCACCTATCGCACTCTCACTTCCTTCACCTTCCCTGCACCGACGACAGAGCAATGTCAAAACGGGCGGGGCAGTTGCTGACGAAGTTAAACAGCCCGTCCACGTGCACCAACATTTCATAAGAGTGACTCAGGTCCCATATCAGGGAGAATGCCGTAAAGGCCACATTATAAAAGTGCCATCTAACTTGACTCTGATTGCGGTAGTCATTCCAAAATAATTACCGCAAGGATCGAGTTTTCCCGTCAGTGCGTCGTGATAGGTTGAGGCCTATCGGATTCGTTTTAGCGGGGAATGAGCTGGTTACGACGAGCTCGTCAGGATCGGCTAACTCTCTCTCTCCCCGCTTCCATGCACTAATAGACTCTTCAAAGGCACCACATAAACCCCAGAAACGGATAATCCCCCGCCCCCACCAACAGAAGCATAGTCCGGGCTATTTTGGGAGAGACATGACGGATTTATTATGTACATGCACCTGAGTTGTTAGTTAGAGCAATAACCCGCGTTGGCGAGGTCTGGGTCTGCATGCCAGTGTGCCTTCCGCGGGTGGAGCTTTTTGTGTGGTCAGGATCATTCGGAAGCCAGAATATAAATCCTTTACGACAAATCTCTCAGACACAGCTTTCATCACTTGCTGAGATCCTCCATTTATGCAAAGGAAAGGATACATCCTTAGCTGAGAAAAACAACTGCATCGCCTAGCATTTAGAGAACACCTTCTTTACACTATTCTAAGTTTGCTGGCGCTTTCCGCGATGGCGATCACAAGACTCAGGGCCACTTGGACCCGGTGTCAAGACAGGGTCAAAAAAACCGGAGGTAGGGGAGGGCTCAGCCGACTGGCACGACCGGACCCGCACCTAAGCGTAACACCACACATAGACGGACTGCTTAACTACGAAAGCCACTGAGTGCCAATCACATCAACAGCTGGTTTACGGGCACGGACGGTCGACTGGGGGCGACAGGGGAACACTTCCTCATTGTACTGAATCTGTAGCGATTGAATCAACAGCGACACGATAAGAGTCCCGGCTTTGGAATAATTCGGTCCGCGTGGGAGTACTCTGAACTGACTTGAGGACTACGAGTCGGGCTGAAATAGCGCCTTCCTAACGTGACCCTCATGCAACTCTCATTGATGTGGGATCCGAGTCGCTCTTGTGAAATCTTGGTACATTTTGCGGAGGCCCAGTGGCAGACGTAGACGGCCGCGCGTGGACGGTGACTTACGCGTGAGTTAGTTTATAGCGACAGTGGACTTTCGTAGCACCTGCCGCACTCTCTCCTCCGCCTCCACTTGGAGCCGGTGCCAAGACAGAGTCAAGAAGATCGGAGGTGGAAGAGGCCGCAGGCATAGCGAAAACCCGAGCCTAAACATATCGCCGCTCTCCCTCGTGCACAACATACGCAGACCAGGATTTTGCACCACAACACAAATAGGGGAACGACACAGATCCCAAATAGCGCGGAGTGAACCGGCAACTCGGCGTGCCACCACACCCCGAATGTTGCGCTGCCCCGACGATAACGCCTGGTGGCCGGTCCACGAGTCGTTCGAACATAAACCACTCCTGGAGGAAGGACACCAAATTGACCACAGACACCACGACGCCACAAGCGAAATGAGCACGACAAGGTAACAAACAGCGCTGAACCCCATACGTTCCTAACTGCATCCTACCGCGTAGCGTTATAGTGAGGAGACACAAACGCATCCCATTGACACTTCGTCCCATGACCCCTGACCATTACCCCCCAACCCCTCCCCCAACATCCTTACCCATTGTTTGTTTTCACCTGTTGGCCCACCGTGACTGGTGGAGAATGAAAAAGGTGCGCTTGCTGATTTTGACTTTTCAAAGGTAGAAGGCCTGAATAGGGTCATTATAATCAAAACGGGCCAGTCATCCCCCCTACCCTCTCTCCACCCCCAAGGGAGCCAAAATCAAATATGTTTCCCTACAAAGGGGCGGATCTCATGAAATGTTGAACGATCGGTGGGCGCCCCCTACCATTGTATATTCCCGATCGAAAACCGACAGGACAACGGGTTCGTGGTCCAGTGGTTAGAGGCGCGGACTTTTAACAAACAGGTCGCGAGTTTGAGCCTCGTGTGTTCCACACTTCGGGATGGAGTATGACTGGCTGACGACGGCTAATAAGCCAGAAATGGCCATTCCAGTCACCCTTGTCTTTGTCGGTAATAGCATTCGGCCTATATCATGCGCCGTTGTGCGGCTGCTGGTTGGGCTCGAGAGAGAGTCCATAAGGCACAACGGAACGAGTGACTTCCGTAAGAACGATCGGTGAGCGAATCCTACTATTATATATATATATATACAACTCGATTTTTCCGAAGAACCTCTTCCTGTTTTCATATATATATATATATATATGTAGATAAGGGGATACCGACAAAGACAAGGGCGACCGGAATGGCCATTTCTGGATTATTATCCGTCATCAGCCAGTCATACCCAACCCCAAGCGTGGATCACTTGAGATTCGAACCCAGGATCTTTGGTCATGGAAATTGACGCTCTACCATTGAGCCACGGGCCCGTTGTCCTGTCGGTTGTGATCGGGAATATTAATTATGACAGATGGGCTGTCGCCGATCAGGTTACAGAACATGCTCGTTCTGTTCTGTAGCGTTTGAATCAACAGCGACACGATAAGAGTCCCGGCTTTGGAATAATTCGGTCCGCGTGGGAGTACTCTGAAATGACTTGAGGACTACGAGTCGGGCTGAAATAGCCCCTTCCTAACGTGACCCTTATGCAACTCTCGTTGATGTGGGATCCGAGTCGCCCTTGTGAAATCTTGGTACATTTTGCGGAGACCCAGTGGCAGGCGTAGACGGCCGCGCGTGGACGGTGACTTACCCGTGAGTTAGTTTATAGCGACAGTGGACTTGCGTAGCACCTGCCGCACTCTCTCCTCCACCTCCACCTGGAGCCGGTGCCAAGACAGAGTCAAGAAGACCGGAGGTGGAATAGACCACAGGTGGCTGGCACGGCGAAAACCCACGCCTTAGCATACCATCACACCACCCGGCCCTCAACGTACGCTGACCAAGATTTTGCACCGCAACGCAAAAAGAGGGGGGGGGGCGGCAGAGATTCCAATTGGCGCGGAGTGAACCGGCAACTGGGCGTGCCATCACACCCCAAATGTTGGCATTTGCTATGGGTGCGTATTTTCGACAACGCCTACCGGACTCCTATTAAGTCCCTGAGTTAGTCCAGCGGATTTACTGCGGGACCCGTTTTATGGCCTAAACACACGCTCAGACATACGCACGGAGCAGAGACGGTGACTTGTGCGTGAGGTAGCTTATAGTAATAGTAGACTTGCACAGCATCTACCGCACTCCCTCTTCCCCACTCGCCACCTGAACCCGTGCCAAGACGGAGTCAAGAACAAGGGAGGTGCGGGAAGGGCGCAAGTGACTGCGCGGCCGGGCCTGCGCCTAGGCGTGCCACCACACCCCCTGGCCCGCACAGCAAATGACGAGGACTTTTAGCCAACAACAACTGGGCAACCAAGCTCACGACCTGCATACTCAGCGGGAGCGCAAGCGCATCTACCGGCAGGGAATTAGGTGCCATAGAACTGCCAGTGCATACCAGCCTGCGAGGTCCGTGGTTTGCTGATACTGGCATAGGACACACTTAAAGAGCTTTTGACCTAGAAGGGCGACAGGTGGTCCTGCATTTAAGCTGGCCCGTCACCCATCAAGCGGCTAAACACATACGCACACACGATAGTTCGACCGTCGTTACCGACGGATTCCTTGCCATGGGCATAAAATGAAGTGGCCCCATCGTGCCCGAATCAATCACGGCCATGTACTTCAAAACTGTCTAACGCAGGAAGAACCTGTAAACACAACAGCTGGCGATAAGAGTAGCCCAAATCGGACACACTAGGCAATCCAAACAGACGATTTTACCTTAACCACATCCCTACGTTTACGTTTTCTTTGGCTGCCCCATAATAAGCATTGCATAACCATTGCAGCCAAGCTTTTAATCTAAGTTGACCTAAAAATATCACGCCCGAAGTGCCCTAGATGAACACAAAAAACAACGTTAAAGTGCATCATAGGTTGCTTACAGTTCGAGACACATAACAGGGGCCCTAATTAGTGCTCAAAAACGCAGCGATTACGTCTTTGGTACAATATCCTCCAGATGCGTCTTTCCGCAGGTATCGCCTCCCTGGCAGGTGAGATTCATGCAAAGGGAGGAGTGTGGTTGCAGGTGGTCTTTTGTGAACTCCTTCTGGCAGGCAGTGCACTTGGGGTTGCTATTTTCCAATTCCTTGTCCACACAGGGCTTGCACAGGAAGTGATTGCAGGGTAGGTCATTTCCGGCCTCATTTGGCTTTTTACAGCCATCGCAGACAGGCGTCTTATGCGACATGACGTGCTGTGATTGCGGTTTCGGCTCGGAGTGACGGTCGTGTGATGAGCAGACGCGCTTCACAGGCGTAAGATCGATCAAGTCACCTGAGCACTGAGCCGATTGGAAGCAGCGACTACGCTACTGGCTGATGAGGCGCAAATATGAGAGCGCGACGTTGATTGCAAAAGTGCTTACCGCAGGGACGATGTGTTGCTGCTTGAATACTTCGCAGACAGCCGCTGCGAAAGTAAATTATGCGAAGAGCTGACGGTCGCCATCTTTGAGCAACGAGTGGACCTCCCGGATCTCGGAGGGCGATGAGGATGCTAGGGTCTGGCTGCTTGGAACCTTCCTTGGGATTTGAAATTACTGCAGACAGGGGTGTAAGGTTCGGCTTGGGTAGGGGGGATTTTGTTTCTTTTCTAATCAGGGCAGAAAAGTTTGAGGTTTTTCAATAGTTTTACCATGCTTTGTGCCTTGCATGGGCAGTAGTTTAAGGAGGGTTCATATGGCATCCCGCACATTTTTGGCGGGTCGTTTTGAGGCCAGTGGAACAATAGGATAGGCAGCGACCTCAAGAAGAAAAATGAATTCACATGTGTTTTGGCAGATTTTGAATGATTCATATTGACCCAACTGTGAAAAACTCGGCGCCTCGGTGGGATTCGAACCCACGCAATAAGGGGCAGGCTTTAGTGCAGCCAACGCTCTAACCATTTGAGCTACGAGGCCCCGCCGGACGACGCGAGTTTATTCACATTTGGGTCAAGTTACCCGCCCAACCTACTGCAACGTCTGGAATCCACCAAATCTGATACTGTAGGTTGACTGCCTAAGCAGGAGTTCCTAAGTAATTCACCTAGAATCCACCAGATGACTACCAGGCTCACGTAATTCGCATGTGTCTTGGCAAATCTTGAATAATTCATATTGACCCAACTGTAAAAAAATCGGCGCCTTGGTGGGATTCGAATCCACGCAGTAAGGGGAAGAGAAAAATGAATTGTCAAACCCCGCGACCTAGTACCAGTTCGGCTGTCACGAGCTCCGACTTTTGTCGTGTGCCACACAGGGACTTGTGTGAGAACCGGTTTACAGTGGGACGGATTTTGTCATCACCAGCTGCACTCTCTCCTCCCTCGCCCCCCCCCCCCGGACCATGCAGTAAAGCAGTGTCAAGGCGACCGGGAGGAGGGAGGTGGGTTCGGGCGACGTGACTGACAGATATAGATAGTTCGTCTGCGCACGCCGTGCGCGATCCGGTCCACATGACCTGTACCATACCCTTGTAAGACCTGGGGGGCTTCGTATTGGCGGCACCAGTCAATTGTCTGAGCCTAAAAAGTGGCTGATGATGCGATTAAGCGCAGTGGCTAACAGAGTCCGTTTGACAGGTCGACCGTCGTTGCCGACGGTGTCCAACGTGTGCCCCACAGCGAGGTGGGGCAGGGACGGTGACTTGTGCGTAACTTAGTTTATATCGAATGTAGACTTTCACTGCATATATCACACTCCACCCTCCTCCTCCACCTGGACACGACGTCAAGACAGAGCCAAAAAGACCGGAGGCGGGGGCGACGCAGGTAGATGACGCGGTCGAGCTTCACACGCCTTGGTCCACGCAGCAGATGACCAGGTTTTTGACCAACAACAAAAGGGTAGCTGGCACGGCCGGAACCACACCTGGCTCGAATCCCACGGAGTGAGTGTCATAATGGCCACATTAAGAAGGAGCCATTGCAACCTGACTCTTACACCATCAGTCGGCCGCTCCACACAAACACTGGGCTGACAGTCCGTCTATATGCGACACATACACACATGATCTGATGACCCCTTCCTGTACAGGCATGTATCAAAGAACATGCTTTCTACTTACATGAGATATGCGCCTTCTGTCATGCGACATAGCGTCTATCATGCCGGCTTTGGCAAATCAGACCAGATGTTTGCTGCCGGATGTTGCGGGCTGTGGCATGTGGTACTATCGAGATTCATTAGTAGCTTAGGGATCTGTGGGTAGGTAGGGTATGGTGTGATAATGGGGTCTGCAGTGCGATCCTGCAGAGGATTTACATACGGCCAAAAAGGCCCATGTAATGACCGAATAACCCGAAGCAGTGTAGACAGATGAGAGGGGTGAGATGGGGAATATATTGGGACTGTTGCCATTTGTTTATGAGGCCCAGTGCGACGGATTCGCTGACCAGGCCAATGCGTAATGTGAAATTACACTCAAAATGGGCATATGTTTGGATTAGGCCCGCATTACCGGTGGTAGGGTCAATGGTACTAATGTTTCGTAGGATGGGGAGACTATTTGCGGGGTGTTGTGATATCAGAGGCGGGTTGGTGGCGTTGAAATTGCACTGCTTCCGCAGGTGTCCAACGAGGCCGGTCCGTGTCCGGGATGTCTGCCGACAGTGTGGACACGATGGCAGAGTTTGGGCACGTGCATTAGTGGTCTATAACATCTGAGTCACTGTGCCTTGGTGGTGGCTAGTCGGCTGCCTCGTCCTTGCGGCAGTACGTCACGCCATCTCTCTCTCCACTACGTGATCGCTCCATTGGAGTTATATCTGCCGCAGCGTGACGCTGATCCTGAGGCCTCCAGTTACTTCTAGGATCTCAGTGTCTGAGATTCTTTCCTGCCCGCCAACTCTAGGGCGGCTGAAATGGTAGAGTCGCTTTGCCTGGCCTTCATAAACCGTTCAGGTCTCCGCCCCGTATATGAGCGTTGTCCGGATGAAAGTCTTGCGCATCCTCAGTTTTATTTTGAGTAGAATACTGCGATGGTTCCAGACAAAGGCCTTAGCCGATCGAAACCTTGGCTAGCTGTGGAGCTTCAACTTGCGGTTAAATAGTCAATCTCAGTGTTTCTTGAAGTCGTACCTCGAATTAACGCCAATTTCTTCACCGCCGTGATGCGATTTCTGTTGATATTGACACGGGGCTCGGTGTTGTGAACCTTTGGTGCCGGTCACTGTCTTCTCACTGCTAATGGTCAGTCCGAAGTTGGAGCAGGCGATGGCGAAAACATCCAAACTCCGCCGCGTGTCGTCTTCCGTCGTGATGTTTAGCGTGCAGGCGTCAGCGGACAATAGGTAATGGATGCCGGCCTTGAATGCACTCGAATGTTACTTCACACGACGGATGTTGAGCAGTTTTCGGTCGGTTCAGTAATCGATGTCGATTCCCGGTGGCTGTTCACGGTAGATATCAATGAGCATAGCGGCTGACACGACGAACAGGATGGAACGTAACCCTGCTTCACCCTATTTGTCACCAAGAATGCTTCAGCGGCTGTCTCGTTCTTCGTGACGTGAACCACCACCCCGTCCTGAAGTTGTATTCTGGTTTTAAGTGGATGCCTCAGGACATCGGAAGTTCAATATGACGCTTTCGGGTCCATCGTTAGCGGACCACGAATATCTGGCCTGCGGTTTTGCAATGTCTTTGGAGTTCACAGATGCGCGTTCGTGCGATTCAATAGGATGGAGACGAAAGTTTTTCCTGCGACCCAAGGACGGAAAATGTCTCTGAGATTTGCACACAGTTACCCGTTCTCCGTGCGTTTTAACTGTGCAATGCTTGAGATATTAGCGATTTTGTCCTTGCTACCAGATCTTTGAGAACAGATAGGTATTTGAAGAAATAGGAAAGGCTTACTAGAACAGATTTATTGGACTATCAAAGTTCCGGAGAGCTCGGTCAGCTCACCATTGTCAAAGAGTCAAATGCGCAAAATGAAAATGGCGTGGCGAACAAGTCGACTTTGCCTCGGACTTTTGGAGGATTTACAGGGTGCACGACAAATGCGTTCTTTCTGGGCTATCGACTTTGATGGAAGATGGTTTAGCCCCCTGCGGGGGTTGTTCGCTCTGGCGGTCCCTTTCCTCCTCCTCCCCTCACGAGTTTAACTTCACAGCCACCAAAATAGTCGCCCGTGCCGGCAACAATGCAGGCCAAGTATTGATTGAAGCCTGGGCCTTGGATGAGAACTCGGTCAACCGATTTGTCGACCTGGTGCCGGCGTATAAAGCCCTGTGCAATCACCTCCAGTCTAGCGCTGTCGGCCGATGATTGGCTTATGCGTCCTATCACCGTTGCTTGTTCTGTTACTGCAACTTTCTCTGACGATGGACTCCTGCACGAGTTCGGAGGCTCAGAACAGTAAACAAAGTGTTCCGGCGCTCGACCACACTACTTCATCTACTAGGACTCGAAATTTCGCCTGTATCAGCGAATTACTCGTCGGGCCGTGTCTGCGCGACTTTCATAAGGTCTGTGTGGCCGTCTTGTCTTGCCTTCTGTGCACGTAATGACGCAGGACTTCATAGGCTGTAGGAAGGTCAAGATGCCTACTGGTAGAGTTGGGATCTGAATACCAAACACCTAATGTGAATCGTTCTTCCTTTGAATTGCCCCACCCTAAGATGGTCTCTCCCTGAAGGCAAAAGACGTGGCCAGTTCCTTCAATGCGCGTTGAAAGTTGACAGTTTGGGTCTATGCTGTCAGTTGCCAGTTTATGCTCGTGAAGTTTCTGTTCAGTTTTCTTGACGCAGTTGAAGTCCCTATCAACGTATTTTGTAGACAACTGCTGAGGTTTCTGCCTATGACAATAAAAGGCCTAGGAGTGGACAAGGAGATAATTGTTCTGCAGGTTGACAAGGGTCATTCCACAGTTTTGTTCAATGACTCTGACTTCCATAACAAAATGCAGAGCCTAGCCGATGACCGACTACGTGCTAGTGAAATGAAAAAAATGATCATCCAGGTAAACAAAAGTCTGACAAAACTCTCAGCCGGTGACTGGCTCTCTACGAAACCGACTGACTCTGTCACAGCTTGTTTTACGGTCTACCGGGAATACACAAGGCGTCATGCCGTTCAGGCAAAATTGATATTTTTCGCGATTAATTTCTGGTCGAAGGCTACCAACGACAGTTGCTTCTGCCAGCCAGTTATTTGGACGCATTAAACGTCTGGAGTAAGGGGCAGATTAATCGATTATATTCTTTGATGTCGTTTCGCTCTTCACCTCGATTCGACAACAACGACTGAGAGATTTTATGGGTCAACTATTGGATGGCGTTGTGAGAGAGACACGTCCCTGAAGTAGGAATGTCGAGCTTAAACTCATTTTCTTATTGGTGGGCAAGCGTGCGGACAAATTGAAGGCACTCCTCTATCATTGGCCCTTCATCGGCTAGAACGCTTGCTGTTCAACAAGTATCAATCAAAGTCCTGAATTCAATGTGTCCGAGACCTTCATCGTTGTGAAAACAGCTCACACTAAACACCTTAAAGAATAAGTGAACTCAGTTGGTCCGAATATTCACTTCGCGATGGAAGTTGAATTAAACAACCATCTTCCCTTCCTCGATGGTTTCTTGTGTCGGTGGGCAACTGCAAACTACAGTATTCATAAAACCCACTAGCACAAGGCAAATCCTAAACGTAAACACAAATCTTCCTCTGTCTCACAAACGCGCTCTATTACAATGGGTCCACGCAAATTAACACAGGCCAGAAGGTGCCTATCCTCATGAGTTTAACTTTGCAACCACCAAAATCGTCGCCCACTTCGGAAACAAAGCGGGCCGAGAATTGATTGAAGCCTAGGCCTCGGATGAGAACTCAGTCAATCGATTTATCGATCTGGCGCTGGCGTACAGAGCCCTGTGCAATTATCTCCAGTCTTGCGCTGTCTGTCGACGATTGGCTTATGCGCCCTATCATTGTTGATTGTTTTATTGCTGGTACTAACTCTGACGATGGACTCCTGCTCGAGTTCGGACAATAAACAAAATGTCTCTGGCGCTCGACCACACTTCTTCAAATCAGTAAATGCCTAATCCATTTTAATGAACAAAGCAGAGGCCGACCGAACAGACGATGGCTAAGTGAGCAGCAGTCCCGTTTTGGAGCACCAGTCCCTACATTAAAGGATTCTCCGAGGCGGTTTCTAGACTGTTGCAACCCACCACGGTGGGCATATTCAACCGACCCCAGACTGCCATATCTCAACTTGTGAGGCAACCTAAGGACGGACTGCCGGCCTTCTGAAACCCCGGCAGTTGTCTATCAAATATGTTGCAAGGATGAAGACTGAACCTACTTTGGGAAAACCGAGCAGAAATTGTAAACCGCCTGCTGGAGGGGGCGGGGCGGAGGCCAGACTCAAACTCTCAACCTGTAACTCACATTGGAAGAACTGGCTATATTTTCTACCTTCAGGGATAGGACATCATAGGCCTGGACAGATCAAAGGAGGCACGACCAACACTTGATCTGTGGCACTCGTATGTCAACTCGACCAACTGACATCTGGGCCTTCCTGTAGTTCAGCCGAGTCTGCAGTACCGTAATTAGCTCATCTTGCGATCTTCTACACGATTGCTGTTGGAGTTCTAACAACACTCATCAGGCAGTCATCAGCCTAATCTGATTTTCGAACCTAGGCCAAGCTGTTCTTCGGGGTAAGCGCTCTGCCGGTTGCAGTCTGGACCATCGAGAGTCAGGTGAGAGGCCATTTGCCGACATGGCCCATCTAAAGTTTCACATCTATGAAAAGGATTGAGACGCCAAACGGAACTGCCGTAGTGTGCACTGAAATAAAATCAGATCATTGAACGCAACCTTCGCGTGGTTAACTAGTAATTTATGAACGAAATGTTCATCTGAAAACTCCTGAAGGTATGGCTTTTCAATGGCTGGATTGCAACCTTGATAAAGTGTTTGCCACCTGGGAAATAGCGTCCTGCATGCCAACTAATCTGGTAGACGAGGCGCATTGAGTCCGTTTTACACGGCGTTCTCTCAGGCAATCGCTATCTTGGTGGCGATGACAAACAATGTACAGTGAGTTACCTATCTCATGAAATGTTGGCTGAAATTCTGAAATGCATTTACGATTAGGAAGGATTACTTGGTCGCGGTTGTAATACTCCTTATCTTGTGGCATACTATTATAGCATTTCGGACTCGGCAGGATGTCGGCTTTTCAATGCACTTCTTTTCAAACTCCTGTAGAAAGCGTGCTCGGATAAAAATAACTACTTCAGTAGCATGCATTTTTCGCATTGATTTTCGAGGGTCGTGGAAATTCAAATATATTTTATAGAAACCACAAACAAAAATATGCTTTCTTTTAGGCAATCAATAGAAAATCACATCTTCTTTATATTTCATGCTTAAAGAAGGAGTATAATTAGGTTTTAAAAAGGGTTTCTAATTAAGAGACCTTTTAAGTCCGCGAAATGTTCATTCACATAGCATCGTACCTGGCCGTTTACCACTGCTCCTCATGAAATGTACAACATAGTCCGCATCCATTGCAAACGTTTATGGACTCTGCATGATATCTCTTTAATGGCATAGAAAAATATGTGTCTTTCTTTACGCGGAACGCATGCACCTTGTAGAGGGAAATCACTAAGCGCAAATACAACGAATGATCAGGTTCCAAATTTTTCGGCAATTAGAAAACTTTTAAAAACCTAATTATACTCCTACCTTAAATATAAAATATAAAGAAGGCGTGATTCTCTATTGATTGACTAAAAGAAAGCATATTTTTGTTTATGGTTTCTATAAAATATATTTGGATTTGCAAGACCATCAAACATCAATGGGAAAAAGGCATGCCACTTAAGTAGTCATTTTTTTGCCAAGCACGTCTGTTACAGGAGATTGAAAAGAAGTGCATTGAAAAGCCGACATCCTGCCGAGTCCGAAATGTTATAATAGTAGGCCACAAGATAAGGAGTATTACAACCGCGACCAAGTAATCCTTCCTAATCGTAAACGCATTTCAGAATTTCAGCCAACATTTCATGAGATAGGTCACTCACTGTATATCCGGTCTGGGCTTATTATTAATGTGTACTTTATAGTCCTCTCATGCACGAGAGCTCTGAGCCGCCCACTCCATTTTATAGGAAATCCTGGCGCGTTTTGTGGTCTGAGGTCGTGTGTCCGACTCTCCAGATCTATCGTCGACTGTGCCCAATCTCCGCATTATCTGACTTATAGGTTCGGACAGTGAACTGGTGTCTAGGATTGGGAAGTGAGAGTGCGGTCGACACTCTCAGCGCATATTCCTCACTACAAACGATCTGGCGCGCTAGAACCTAGCGTAGCGCGGTAAAAACTGCGGTTTTGAGGGCTGCCAAGTGATGGAATAATTCGGTCCTCCTCTCAGGACGGGAACTCAGGCTGCAACGGCTCCTTCTGAATGCTGCCTTTATGACACTCCCGCACGGTTGAGATCCAAACCGTCTCCCGTTCTCCTTGTTGTCTGAAATTTTGCTCTTTTGTTTGCGGATTAGGTGTGGTGGCACGCCTTGGTGCGGGTCCACGCCCACCCAACCACCGATGCCCTGTCACGCCACTGGTTGTTTTCACTGCCTTGACACGGGATCCAAGTGGGCAGTAGAGTGTGATGGATGCGGCGCAAGCCGACTATCCTTATATATTAATTCATGAATTAGTGACTGTCCCTGAGCCGACTATGCTATGGAGCACACGTTGGACATGGTCAAAATCGACGGTCAAACTGACATGATCGATCACCCCAATCTCGGTCTTATTTAGTAAAACGGCCAATCTTTGATAATATGCATCTGTTTTACCGCACGTAATCCCTGAGAAGACGCCACTTTCCCCGTATCCCATTCCGGCCAGACCGGAGAGCTCTCCGTTTCGACAAAACCATCTTGGAAAAGCCATAAATAGTCATCTTTGTCCGCCTAAATCACCAGACTAATTCCCGACATGTCATCAACAGCGAAGAGACGTCAAACTTCGATGAAGGCGGTTGGGGAGAGACGGGTTTGAGAGGAGATATGGTGACGAAGGTAACCTTTTGTGAGGCCTTTGGAGGTAGCTTAGGAATGTCGTCTGGTTGGACGCAAAACAGGCTTGTTGGGGTTGCTCCTAGCCCGTCAACTCGCCTTGTCCTCTTCTGTCCTTAGCCCGGTCCAGAGGTATAAAACTGACCAGACCTTTAGGCCGAACCATGTAACTTCAAACTCCGCTGCTGAACTTGACTTGGGCAATATATTCGATTTTTTCCACTCTTAGCCGTTAAGCCACAATTTCGACGCTTCCCAACTGCCACAACACTGTCTACTTTCTCGAGCACATTTCTGTCGGCCTATGACTAGTCCAGCCCAACAAAATCGTCTTTTAAGATCCCTTACTGACAAGCAAGCAGTCTCCCCTGAGATGGCTGTCGTGACGCGTCCTTTTACTGCTGAAACCAATTACCGGCCTATTTCTGTCTTCCATGATGTTCACAAGGTGGTATTACTAATGCGGACTTAAGCAGAGTCGAATTCCGTTCTGGTGCCTTTATGGCATACTCTGTGACGTAAATCCCGAGCTGCTCTTACCTTGGGCCGGTACGTGCCATGGGGGCCAGGCCGTGCATGGCACGCGTAGATGAACTACTTGGCGCTACCAGCGGCTGCACTTGCGCCCTTGTACTGACAGCGTCTTTCCTCACCGGAGCCAGGTGGGTGAGAGAGCAGGATGCTGTGCAAGTCTCTCTCGCACTATGGGCTAACTAACACACAAGTCACCCGTACTGCACCCACTCTGTGGGGCGCACGTTAGATGTCATCGCATGCGACTGTCCAACGGGTTTTTTGAAAGCAGTCCACGAGGTTGGCCCATCTGCCTGATGGCTGAAAACAGTTACTCAGCAGGAGGTTCTGCCAGACCGTTGGTGCGCTCTTTTTCTGATTCCGCTTCTGGCTTAGAAGTATATCACTCGTGATGAAGAAGAGGGGTCGAGCACCTGAACACTTTTTTATTGTCCTGAGCTTTCAGCCTCTTACAAGAGTCCATCGTCAGAGGTAGTAGCGGCAACAGAACAAGCGACAGTCATAGGGCATGTAGGCGAATCATCGACCGACGGTGCAAGACTGGAGGTGACTGTACAGGGCTCTGTACGCCGGCGCCAGAGCCTCGGATGAGAACTCAGTCAGTCGATTTATCGATCTGGCTCCGGCGTACAGAGCCCTGCGCGGCCACGCCCAGCCCTGAGTCATCGATCAGTGATTGGCTAGCAGGTCATATAATCATCTCTCCTTCTGCTGTTGCTACTACCTCTCACGGTAGACTCCTGCACGAGACCGAAATCTCAGGACAATAAACGAAATTTTCCGGTGCTCGACCCCTCTTCTTCTTTTTCACTTATGCATACACCTAGGACTCGAAAGTTCACCTTCATTCGTATATAAATGGGAACTGGTAACGGCTGTCGCTGAATTATGCCGCAAGGCTAATACATGCTTCTACTTTAGAAAGGAGTATACACTTTGTATGATTCTAATAATAAAGACTTCCCGAAACCTTTGTAGAAGGCAGTCACTTAGAAATCTTCCTATTGGAAAGAAAACGGTTGGTAGAACTTACTACCACTCCCTAAACCTAAACTACCCTAATCCATAATCCTTGGCCAAATCGAAAACCTAATCCCAGAGCCAAAGTCTAGACACTGATACCACTGGTCCTACCCAAAAGCTTAAAACTAGCCCTGACGCTTACCATTATTCCAATATAGAATTTATCTCCTCACCTGAGTTCGGAAATGTAAATGTAGCCCGTGGCCTCGTGATGTAAAAGGGTCACACCAAGTTAAACTTGCCAAAAACGCAACTCAATGAACAAAGAGATAGTTTTCTTAGCTAAATCATCCCTTGGCTGGTTTACTGAGGTGAAGTATGACGTCTTTAACTGTAAGAAGACGCTGAGACAGGACTAAATGTCGCAGATGTACCAAGAACCCTGACGTGGTTCATTTTCGAGGCCATAATAATGACCTCGAAAAGGTAGTTGATTTTACTTAAAAATCAAATCTCCTTTCCGACCTCTTCAACGGGCCCGTAACAGGTATTATATACTCATTCCAGTCAAGCCCTTTGTCAAAATTAGCCTCAAAATATTTCTTTTACTCGCATTCGCCCGAGTCTACTGCAGTTTCCCTACATGAACAAACAAACACACGCACAAAAAAACGTCAAAATGCGTCAGAAGTGGCTTACAGTTCAATACACAAAACAGAGGTTCGTGCCGCAGTAAGCATGCAAAGGAAAAGCAAGAAACGTCTGCCTGCTCTAGTTTGTCCACCGTCGCGCTTAGGTGGTCTTTGGTAAAATGTCAATCAAGTGCATCTTCCCACAGGTATCGTCTCCCTTGCAGCTGATGTCCATACAGATGAAACAGTGCGGCTGCAGTTGGTCCTTTTTGAACTCCTTCTGGCAGGCAGTGCACTTGGGGTTGCTATTCTTCAATTCCTTGTCCACACAGGGCTTACACAGGAAGTGATTGCAGGGTAGGTCATTTCCGTCCTCATATGGCTTCTTACAGCCATCACAGACGGGTGTCTTCGGCGGCATGATGTGCTGTGACTGCGATGTCGGCTCGGGGTGACAGTCGCGCGAGGATACTCGTCATAGGCGTAGACACTGGACCAATCAAGGCAGCTGAGCACTGAGCCAATGGGATGCGTTACCAGTCTTGGATG